AAAAATGAAGACATGCTGATACAGAAAACCCTGAAGGTTAGAGCCGGTTATTATTCCCAACCGGTTCCATTTAAAAATATCAGAACCAAATAATATTAATGATGTTCAGTTGTTAACTGATCTGTAACTACTTAATTCTATACCACATTGGTGATAACCTGATTAAGTTTTTGTTGTTTTATTTTTATTTTTTCAAGATTTACATATTATTTCATTATGTATTACAGATTTTTTGTTGTCTGAACTTTAAAAGAATCTCATTGTTTGATCAGAGGCTGCCATGTGAATATATTAAGTTAATATATTGGGTTAAACATTACGTTTTGGTTTATGCTTTTTGAGTTAGGCTAAGTGAATTCAGGTAAGTTGGGCTACTTTTGTGTTACATCTTAACCTGTATTCACTACATAGAAAGTCTGTTACTTCAATCCAAACTCCTCTGATCCCAAAGTGTCTTGAAACACAATCTCCGGTGAGATTTGTGGTGATTCTTCACAAGTGCCACTGCAACCAACGAGAAGTAGCTGGAGGGCTTTGTAGCTATTATCAGTGTGAGGTTTTGTTCAGCGTGGAGTGTTATTTGTAACCCTCTTAAGGAAAGCCACTCTTAAGGTTTCTCTTGAGAGCCTCTTGTAAATCACTTCAAGTGTTTTAAACTGATTTTGTTCAAGTGAGTTGCTGGCAGAAATTGTTGTTGCTGTTTGCATAAAGCACTTCATGACAATGATTGCCTCTTAATAATCCACTCATCCCTTTAATGATCCTAGAGGTTTCTGTGGACTCAGTTTGTTGTCTTTTCTGTTATGTTATAAGGGTGTCATCTTCCCCTATCCCAGTTTTATATGCAACTATAAAGAAGCCGTTATGGTTTTGTTTGTTTAAACATCCCAAAACTGCAGCATTGACTCAACCAATGAGTTTGAGGTGGCCTTTTCTGTTTGTCCGACCAGTGGAAGACAGTTGCAATTTTTTGGAAAATGTGTTTGAAAACAGTCTTTATAATTTTTGCAATTCCATTTTGTGATGTAAATGGTGCAGAAATGAACTCTAGCTATTTACTAAGACTTAATCTATACCAAATACATTATGGGAGCACAGTTCCTGCATTCCCTCATACAGTAGGACATTGTGTGATCAAGTATTGTGTCATGTTGAAGTCTTCTTAGTCACGCTATCTAGTATAGATTGGTCTGGCCTGCCTTGAGCCTGGCTGAGAGTAGCATGTTTGATATTTCAAGTTGTATGCAGTAATGGGCTTTGAGGAGCCAAGTCAAATTGGTATGTTTTCTTTTTTTTAATTACACCTCAGTGACTTCCAGATGAGGGAATGTTGCATCCTTTACGAGATCAGTATGCTTAGCAAAGTAGTGATTGAGGCCCAGTTTTTCTTGTGGAAGCAATAGAGTAATAAATATTTAGCCACTTTTTAAATATTATAATATTTCATTTAAATAGTATAAATATTTCTTATTATATTATATTATATTATTAGCGCCAAGTCAAAGTGTTTTCTTTTGTTCACATATTTAGCCTTTTTAAAAATATAATAAATATTCTACATATATTTTATTTACTTTTAATATTATAATTGTATTATTATTTTATTTAAATCCACAAAAAAAAGAAAGAAGCTTTTTTGGAAAACTGCAAAGAAATAATCCTTCTCCCTGATAACATGGTCAGTTTTTCACTTGGAAACTCCATCTTTTAAAGAAAAGATTCAACCAAAAAAGTAAATAATGTCATACTCATCCTCATGTTGTTATCACTGTAAAAAAAATTTAAAATTTACGTTAAAAAAAAAAAAAAAAAAATGTTTTTAGGTTTTACGTTTTAACTTAAATTTACAGTTAAATAGCGTAATTTTATTAACTTATGTTAATATACCAACCTACTGAAGTACTGAAATCTGTTTTGCACCTTTGTAATACACTGATAACCACCAAATGCAGGTGGTGATGAGAAACTCACATGATGAACTAAAGCCCATCACAAGCAGCTTTTAAATGATAACATATATAGAAGGTGCACAGTGTCATTCACACAAACACCAAACACCATCATGGTAACACACATGAAACTGAAATAATGCAATAAACATTCATTTAACAACATCAGGGGTAACACACAACCCTAATATACAAAACTGACGAGAAAAAAAACTAAGAAACATAGTTAGTTCAACAAGAAAACATCAAATTTGAAATGCAACACAGGGAATTCTGGGAATGTCAATTTACGGTTATTCACTGTAAATTATATGGTCTTTTTCCACTTCCAAAAACGGTATACTACCGTAAAATTACATGTAATGTCCAATACAGTTTTTCACCGTATATAGTAGGGGAATTTACCGTTAACCATTTAACAGGTTTTTACTGTAGCATTTTTACAGCCTTTTACCGTTAAATGCATCATTTTTTTCGTCATTTTTTACAGTACAGTACAAATATAATGCTACTTCTTTTCAGTGGAACCCCAAAAAAAAATTTTTTTAAGAATCTTTGTGTAGCTCTTTTAGATAAAATGACCGTGACCACATCCGTTAAGCTCCAAAAATTACAAAAACATTTGAAAAAGTTTTGAAATGACATGATGGTGAGTAAATAATGACAGAATTTTCATTTTGGGCATTTTCATTATCCCTTTAAGTTCCAGCATTATCAGATCTGTAGATCCCTTCTCATGTTCTTCAGGGTTCCTCCAGATAAGCTTAACATTTTGATCCTGGGTGTCTCCAGGTTGGGATGCATGGTAGCCTTGAGGGCTTCGGGGGAAAAGGATCTGAAGCTCTTAAAGGCGTGTGGAAGAGGCTCAGGGAAATTACAGATTGTCCTGAGCTTCCGCCAGCCTACTTTTTTAGGAACATGACTCGCCTGCTGTTCAACAAACAATAGGAGCTTTAGAAGCCCATTGTTGGTAGGAGATAAACATCAACTTGAGGAATAAGGTCACCTGAATCAAGGCTGCAGTTGCAGGTATGTTTAGCTTGTGGCAACTGATTTGCTGTACAGAAGTGTATTTAATCATACACTTGACTACTCTTAACACTATGTGTGTGTGTGTGTGTGTGTGTGTGTGTGTGTGTGTGTACCTTGCACTGAGCTCCCTCATTAGCCTCTTTAGCACAAGCTTTTGGCATAGCCCATTGCCTTGTCAGAGATTGTGCCCATGTGGGGCCAAGTTACCGTAATAAAACGCTTGATTCTAATGACTCTCCTCCAAGCCGTAGCTCTATGCACAAACCTTTCTCCTGAACCGCCAAAAAGCTCAAGCCTCCCTCAAGGGTTTTTAGCGGCGCACTAACAGTTACACTTCTCGGACCATTTAAGGTGCATGACCAAGCGTCTAACTCGATTTGTGTTCACACACTCTGTTTGGTCTGTCTGCAAACACGGGCTAGGATGTTTTCTCACCTGTCTTAAGTCTACAGGTCTTCAGTGTGGAGCAAAGAAGCTGAAACAGGCATCTCTGGCTAAATGCGTTCGTGAGCACTGCACTTATTCATTTAAACTGATCGCAGATTGTAAAGGTTCAGTTTGTTTTATTCAGCAATATACAGATGCTGTCTGTGGTACAAAAGTTAAATTAATGCAAGAATATGAAACTATAATACTAACTGATGGTAACAACTGTAGCTCTGTTCTAAAATCTTAGCTGCCCATCTAGATCAGTGTTATTTTAGTATTATTTGCCGTTTATAATTTTATAGTATTTATTAATATTTAGAATTCACTTTAGTTTTGGTTTTCAATTTAATTTTAGAGTAAGTTTTAGTCATTTTTTTTATGTGATTTTGTAAATTTTTCAGCATGTCCATTTAATCTTATTTTTATTTTAGAAATTTTATTACTTCCAAGACAACATTTCCAATTTTCATTTGTTTTTCTGTTTCTATTTTTCATCTTATATATACAGGTGCATCTCAATAAATTAGAATGTCGTGGAAAAGTTCATTTATTTCAGTAATTCAACTCAAATTGTGAAACTCGTGTATTAAATAAATTCAGTGCACACAGACTGAAGTAGTTTAAGTCTTTGGTTCTTTTAATTGTGATGATTTTGGCTCACATTTCACAAAAACCCACCAATTCACTATCTCAACAAATTAGAATACTTCATAAGACCAATAAAAAAAACATTTTTAGTGAATTGTTGGCCTTCTGGAAAGTATGTTCATTTACTGTACATGTACTCAATACTTGGTAGGGGCTCCTTTTGCATGAATTACTGCATCAGTGCGGCGTGGCATGTATATATATATATATATATATATATATACAGTATATACACCGATACCTATATCTATCTATCTATCTATCTATCTATCTGTCTATCTGTCTATATATATATATATATATATATATAGCTTCCAGAGAAATTGCAGAATTCATTGAAATATACCCAATTTTTGTTTGTGCTTTGTATTTTTGTGTTTATTAGATAATTGCACTATTAGTTGGCAACATGCTAACTATTAGCTATTTCTGTTGCAAATAAATCTGCTCTTTGGACTTCCTGTTCATCAAAGAAAAAAAATGTATCACAGTTTCCTCAAAAATATTAAGCAACACAACTGTTTTTAACATTGACAATAATAAGAAATGTTGCTTGAGCAGCAAGTCAGCATATTAGAATGATTTCTGAAGGATCATGTGACACTGAAGACTGCAGTAATGATGCTGAAAATTCAGCTTTACATCAGAAATAAATTGTTTTAAAAATAAATTCAAATAGATTTAAATTGTAATACTATCTCACAAATGTCCTCTTTTTACTGTATTTTTGATCAAATAAATGCAGCTTTAGTGAGCATCATCTTAGCTGCTTGAATATAGTAATCGGACAGTATTATGGTTTACGCCAAAATACCATGGTATTACCATCCGATACCATCACTATACCAGTGTGCCTGTTTGTTTTGCATTTGTAGCTTTATCACTTGCCCTTCACATTATTCTTTCAGCCTTCCTCTTACATGCTCTTTCTCTCTCTTTCAGAGACTGCATTTGCCTCCAGACCTGTCAGAGACGGTGAGTCGAGTGAGTAAAACAGAACTGGCAGCAGGATGTGGCACCACTGCCACGGGCAACAAGCACCTAGATTTCTAGCGTATTCCCATTCCTCCTGCACCCTCTGCCCCCCAGAGATGTTCAAGGGCAGGAGAGCGCTGGAGCTGCACTACGCCAACACTAGGCTACAGTCACACCTGCACTGACACACTTGCTCTCATTATTAGTGAATGAGAGTAAGATGGTGCAACGTTTAGTAACTACACAACATGGGGAAACTTACAAGTGATATTCAGTGTCACAAAAACCTGACAAGTACCTGTTGCTATCTTTGGATAAAGCAAGGATGTGATGCAAATAACGATAACATAGTTTGGCTTCCAGTGTCATTTCAGTGCACTTCATGGCTTCCTGGTGTTTATTTGCTTAGTTAGCTAATAAATATTTGGTGTCAATAAAGTTTCTACAAAAAAATTTAAAAACAAAATGTCATGTTTTTATTCACGTTCAAAACAAGCTTTCTGATGGATAATATTTTCAACCCTCAACTCCACTTCAGTCCAAAACTCTACAAGCTGTATGATTATTTCAGGTTCATAATGTCGCGCTGTTCAGGATACAATTAAAGCAGAAATATATTCAAATATAGGACTAGAGACATAGAGTTTCTCTCTCTCTCTCGCTCTCTCTCTCTCTCTCTCTCTCGCTCATTTATTTTTCATTTTATTTTATTATTTTGAACACTGTTTTCTGCAAATTACATAAAAAGTAAAGTTTTACTTTACTGCCATTTTTATAACAACACAAAAAAAAGTATCCCCAAAATGATCTGCAAAATGTTGTTCTCATTACTATACTATGTAACAAACAATATTTAAAATTAAACTGTTTGCATACATCATGGTAAGATTTGTTGTACTGCCTTTAATTAACGCTGTTTAATGTGTTTTTTTATTTTATTTATTTACTTTGTTTACTGTAATTAATGCTGTTTTTTTGTTTTGTATTTTGGGCTAAAAGGTAACCTGTTTTCCATGTTTTACCACGTAATAATGACCCATATAATATAATATAATATCCTTTCACTATTTCTTAAACAGGCTCCACAATAAGATACTGCATTCATTTACAATTGAATTATAATATCATCCTTTTGCATTTATAATATTCCAACTTAAATTTCAGCTGATGTGACCCTGTTTGACTTAGCAGGGAAATGTATTTGTAATGTGAAAATGCATGCACAAATTATTAATTTCTGCTTCTGAATAAATCTGCTTGTGAAAGCTTATGTGACCCTGGAGCACAAAAGCAGTCATAAGTAGCACAGGCACATTTGTAGCAATAGCCAAAAATACATTGTATGGGTCAAAATGATCTATTTTTCTTATATGCCAAAAAGTCATTAGGATATTAAGTAAAGATCATGTTCCATAAAGATATTTTGTAAATTTCCTACTGTAAATATATCAAAAATGTTTTATCATTAGTTATATGCATTGCTAAGAACTTCATTTGGACAACTTTAAAGGTGATTTTCTCAATATTTAGATATTTTTTAGATTCCAGATTTTTTTTAATAGTTGTATCTCGGCCAAATATTGTCCTATCCTAACAAACCATGATATGTTAAAAATTGACCCTTATTACTGGTTTTGTGGTCCAGGGTCACACATATTCATGAGACAGGTATGTTTTATATACACACGTTAATGTTTCATAGCCTCATTTTCATTGCTCATAAATAGTTATCAGTGTTTACAGTTTTTTTAAATATACTGTATATTATATGCAGTCAACTTTTTGCCATTATAATTACGTTTAGCCTATTAGAGTGATAAGTCTGCTCAAATAGTTACGTGGTGTGACATGAATATATTTTAAGAACAAACATAGTTTTTCAATTAATTTGAGCCCAAAACTGCACGCATAAGACGCTAGTTTTGTTAGAAGTGAAATATAACAAGTATAACTTTAGATGTGATTTGAGGTTTCTCCATTCTTTTCACTTCCACTGCCGTCTTTGTAGGTGTGTTTGAGTGAGACTAGACCTGTCCAGAAAGTCCCATAAGCCACTACCTGACCCAGCTAACATCAGGACCAACCTACCACCCCAAAAAGCCTTCCACATGGACACTTTCCCTCGGCGTCCCTCCCGCTGAGACAGCAAGTGAAGCAAAATAACTCATTCTGCCACACAATCACTTCATCTCACCCTCTGCTCGCTCGGACCGCTTTATTCTTCTCATTTCTTCCCTCTCTCGCCTCCCCCCCATGCTCACTCGCTTTTTTCTTCCTTTTAGACCATCGTAACTCTACCAAAACAAGAGCTGGCAGTGTTGAATGGCATAGGCCTTTTCTATTGTGGTGTGTTTTTGTGATGTCTGAGTTGTGTGGAGTCGGCTGGTGCCTTTGTTCACGAGTTCTTTGCTGGTTATGAGGTATGTGGAGAGAAGAGAGGGGTTTTGACATGCTGGTGTGTCTTTAAACGGGTAGTAATGTTTTTAATTACTGAGTGATTTTACCTGAAAATGATGTTCATTTTCAATAGGAGTCGTATTAAAAGTTTAGCATTTTGGAAAATCGTGAAGAAAGCGACGTGTAGGCTACTGTACAAAATGTTTTTAATAGTTTTCACAAAATACATTTAGAAAGCTTTTAAATAAAGTGAAATTGAAATATCTGCAAGACAGGGTAGACCTTCCGTTTTCCAAAGCATTGCTCTGACACAAAAACCATTACAAGTGTCCGTGTCTCAGGTACACAACAAAAACGTAGAGTTCAAGAGATGTCAACATGTTTTTAAAACCACAAATGGTTGTCGATCATAAATAAAGGACTGCGTGATTAAGCCGTAGCCTATAAGCCAGTGTACTAGAATGTAAAACAACTGTTTTCCTTTACAAAATGTATAGCAACACAAGACTAACGATAAAAAAAAGAGAAGATTAAGATTGTTGTGTAATAGATGAAATACAAAGGCTTTGGTCTGTTTTTACAATCAACAATGGTTAAAGTCTGATATGTACTTGTAAACAACTGCCAAACACTTACGTTTTTTTTTTTTAACTCTGTCAAGCATTTTTAATCATAATTATTGGAATTAAATATTTCTAGTCTCACAAAATTATTTGACCGTAGGACACTATAATACAGCTATACCTAATAGACAACTTGTACCTGACCTAAAGAATTTTTTTTTTTCCTTTTTTAACGATGCATGAAAATCTGTATAAAACATTTATAGATTTGTTTTTCTTGGGGACAGTAAATGTGAGAATATATGTATGTTTTCCGCCATAATTCCAGGAGGAAATTTCTAGGGGAATCAAATACGTACAATTGGACAGTAGCAAAATGGATGAATGTTATTTTGATGGCAAAGTCTGCCGTATTATAACTTTCCATTCCTCTTGACGTCACAATTATAAATGATCAAGCACAAACAGCCTCAGAATCAGTCTACCCAGCTCCAAACCCTCATATATAATTATAAAGTACTCAGTCATTTACATAATGGCTGTTGTTCCTTTTGTAGATAAAATAGTGTCGTTAATTGAAGTCGTTGTGGGTTGATTTTCCTGTTGGTGTGTTTCTGCTTCACTTCTTTGATATGGGCCTGTATGAAGTCCGATCCGTAATCCTGATATTAGAAAACAGTCACAATGTATCGTGCTCCGCCATTTCAAATGGATGCGACACCGACATAGTTTTGGCTGTTGAATTGTCTTTTCATCTTTTCTTATAAATGCCAATGTACAAATACAACAAAAAATGGAGACCGAAAATGTGGATGTAGCAGAGGTTTGTTGTTTTTGTTCCTTTAAAGTCTCTCTAGCGTCTAGTTTTCCTCTTAAAGGTAGTGCCGCAAAGTTTCCAGACCGTGACAAGAGTCCACACGCTTCCTCGTCCTGGTATTTGTTTGTGTGTGTTTGTGGAAATACTGCTGCAGAGGTCCAGGTTCTCTCTTAGTCTCTGTGTGGAAAGGTCAAAGGGCGAAGTAACTCTTTTCTTTACTGTAATCTTGACCAGTACTGAGACATGTCTGGCTCAGTTCCGGGAACTTGGACAGGGACAGATACTCCAGGGGAGATGAGTCCTATAAATAGAGACAGAATATAGGTCTTATCATATTTTTTTTATGCACTTTAACAAACAGGTTTGTGATGTAATGATTCAAGACATATTGAAGTTAAAATTAGACAATGAAAGGGATTTTCTTTTCTTTTTTCAAAAAGTGTTAATGCTTTTTCAACCCTCTTAAAAATCAAGGTTCTTTATTGGCATTGATTGTTCCATGAAAAGCATACAAGATCCATGGAATCTTTCCATTGCAAAAAAGGTTCTTTAAAATGGAAAAAAAAATATTCTTCACAGTAAAAAAATATGGTTATTTTAAGAACTGTTCAGTGAAAGGTTCTTTGGAGAACCCAAAAATATTCTTCTCTTGCATAGCTAGAAAAAAAAAAACTTTTGGAACCTTTATTTTTAAGAGTTAAGGAACAAAAACGGTACATAAAATGGGTGAAAACAGAAACACAATTTAATATATACACAAAATCATGCATTAAAAATTTAACAGAATTTTACGGCAATGCATATTTAATGTGAACAGTAAATTGGTAAAAGAGCATATGCATATACCATTCAAAACGGTTCAAAACTTTTAGAGGATTTTATAATTTTTTCTAATTATGTTTTTGAAATAAGCCTCTTATGCTCACCAAGGCTGCATTTATTTGACACAGTAAAAACAGTAATATTGCGAGACATTATTACAAATTAAAATAAGTCTACTATTTTAAAATATTTAAAAATGTAATTTATTCTTATGATGGTAAAGCTAAATATTCCGCATCATTATTCCAGTCTTCAGTGTCACATGATCCTTCAGAAATCATTCTGATTTTTCTGCTCAAGAAACATTTTATTATTATCAATGTCAAAAACGGTTGCGTTGCTTTATATTTTTATGGAAACCGTGATGCAATTTTGTCAAAATTCTTTGATGAATAGAAAGCTCAAAATAACAGCTTTTATTTGAAATGTAAATCTTTTGTATCATTATCATAAAGGTTTTTACTGTCACATTTGATCAATTTAATGCATCCTCGCTGTTAGCGAATCAAAAATCGTTCTAACCCCAAACTTTTGAACGGTAGTATAAATGTGCATTTGATCCAGGGCGAGTTGGTTAAGCGCACAATGAACTTATTCTGCCTACCTGTTGAGGTGGTACCAGAAGTTGCCATTGTTTGGCTGTTCATGTGTGCCTGCATATGAGGGGGGGTGTATGTGTCGTAGCTTCGCCCATTCACGGACGGACTGGTGGGCAGCATGCAGGAATAGGAAGATGTCTGGCTTGGCTATAAAAAACAAGAATATATGTATATAAATATTTAGCTTTTTAGTATCTATAACACAGAGGAG